TATTGTTCGATTCCTTTTATTTATAGAATGACCTATACTTCGAGTTTTTGTACACAAAGTTTATTGTTGAGCTTCTTGTATCATATAGGGAATGGTATCAAGTTTAAAAATTACGCAAGTATCGATTAGTAAAGCAATACCATAGACTACAATCAAGCCGTAGAGGAATTCTTACCATGCTATAGCGTAGATGGAAATATGCCTTTAAATTACCATGGTTTTCGTTACCTAAAGAAGATGGAATACTATCACTATTATTATTACGAGGCAATTGTTATGAAGAGGTATACAGTATCTAGGATTACTGATAACAAGCTAAATCTAAGGTAGGTATTCTAATTTTATGATAATGCCTGTAAATTTTTTTGTTTGGAAAGTGAAAGGCTTAAATTGGTATAGAATTTCGGTAAGGTCTGGATTTCTTTTAATCCAGATAATTACTAATAAGCTATAACATTAAATTTTCTAGGTCATATCAGTAACATTCTCGAACAACTAGAGAATCAATATCGACTTCTAAACTTTAATGTTCATAGTTCTATTAAACTTGAATGGCACAATAGGGTCTGTATCCAGAATAGCTTCTAATAATATACTTAAACTTCGAAGGTATTCAATAATTTGATTATTTTACATTAAATGTTAAAATTTCGTTTCAGTTAAGCAATATTTTTATTATATTTCTGCGATATAGTTGTATAAATACATTGCGAAATTTTCATTTGCTAGCAAACAGAAGAAGGCATAAAGACATATTCTGTCATCTCAAATGGTTATCATAGGTTCTAAATTTGTAACCAGTCTTTAATCTCTATGAGAAAGCTCGTCCAGCTGATATTAAATTATAGATATTTCAATATACAGCTATATTATTTAGATGGTTGACTTACTAGCTCGCACTAATTGACCACTTTGTACACAAGTGCAATCAGAAAGTCGATAGTAGATTGATGAGTATATGCGAACATTCCTTCTAAAATATTCTTGAGCGAGTCATATGAACTCCATTTATAATTCATTAATATATTTAAAACTAGACGAAATTAAGCTATTTATAATGTAATAAATGCTCCTTAGTTTAAATATTAGAAATTATGTGAATGAGGTAATCCAAATAATAACTAACGTATCGCGCAAGGATTAATGTCAAGTTATTATATGTTATAGTTATGCATTCGAAAGAATCAAACAAACAAGTAGAACAAAATAAAGTTATTTATTATTCTACTGCACCACAAAGTTAACTGACAAAGAAAAGAATTATTGTAGAGCAATACAGCTTAAATAATAAATACATATTATAATTCACCCACGATACAGAACATAGCTACAATATGCTATATCTTAGAACTATCGTATCATACCGAAAAAGTACGTAATCAACCACAGTATACAGTAATTATCATAAAATATAA